TAGCCACACCAGGCAATACAGCATTACATTGACTATGAAAATGTCTGGGTTGCTTTGCCTTTGCTGTTGGTGTATGTGTAAATAATATTATAACAATACGTACATAGTGGGTCTCTGTGTTAGCTTAGAAAATCCATGACACAAGTCTCAAACCAGCACGTAACATGTAGTTTCTACCCCTTCACCTGTCACCAAAACCTCTCAAGGGCCCTGATATTGCAAACATGTTCACATAGGGAATATTTCCACACAAGGTGGGAATAGTTCTAACATCCATTCACTGAATAGGTGAGAAAACAGGCATATTGGGGTCTTAAATTTGAACAGTAATGATATTATGCTTGAAAAAATGTTTTTAAGACTATGCTTTAAAGTGCTGTGTAGGTTAAGGAAATATTTACTGTTGTGTGGACCTGTTAATAACTTTGTTGTAATGGTTCTCCCACCTTCTCTTTCTCTGATGATTTTCTTCAGTTTAGTGTTGGCTAAAGATATCTATCACTGGGGAAAAGGAGTCACCAAAGAAAATATAAGATATTACATGCATAAACTCTTTCTTACCTGTTATGCCTAAAGTTGTATCAGGCAATGAGATGTTTTCCAGTGTGTTCATAAACTAAGCCACATCAAGCCATTTAGTACCTGAGTGGAACAAATGTCCAGTGTGTTATGTAGCAAATGTTGGTGATTCAGTAGTTGATACTCTTCCCATTGAGTCATTTCTGAACCATCCCTTGGCATAAGACTATGAAGCACTGCACAGTGGGAAGCGCCATCTCTCCCACGTGATATAAAACTGAAATCCTGCTCACTTACAGTGAATAAGGGCAAGATCATGCTTGTGACGGTGCATTATATCCCTTGACCCATACCACAAGTCACAGTGCAGGATGTGCACTCTTCTGTAATCTGCTGGCTAGCATTTCTACGTCAGCACAAAGGGAGAAATAATCTGTGCCTCATTACTTGGGCCACTGCAGATAATTTCACATCTACCATCCCCAAACTAAAGCAGGAACCAGGAACTGAACTATGACTATCAGGGACAATTCAGTGTTCATCTTCTCCTAGTGCAGCACCTTTCTCAGTTGATCCAAAAGTTTAGTCTGCTGTGGTGAAGCATAACAACACCTTTTCTGAGCTGCCAATCTATTTGCTACCATTTAGTTTTAATATTTATGGTTTTCGAGAACATTCAAACAGTTTGAACCAGCTGTAATGAATGCAGTGGTATCTGCCTGAATTTGCAGACAGCCTGATACAATAGTTATGAGTTTTGAACTGCTTCTTTGACCTAGCGATATGTTAATTCTAACACCAGGTGAAGACAACTTTGTCAACTATTTCACTGTTCAATATAGGAATAATATTTTATTAATAAAATTACTATCCTTGGTATCAATTTCTAATCATAAGTACGTGCTATGGAACAGTAAGATCCTACTTCTGCAGAAGTCAATGACAAACCCAGGTCCTGAATGCAAAGTATTCTTAGGCTGTTTAAATTGTGTTTTATCTCACTTTTTCAGCTTATAGCAAATCTGAAGTCATTTCAGTAAGTGATCACATTTCTTAGTTTCCTCTAGTTTATGTCAATTTAGACATAGCCCAGAAACTGAAACAAATGAAGAATACCAATAATTTTTGTAGGACTTATGAAAACCCAGTATTTTGTGCTCCCTCTGCTGGTTCAACAGCAATAGCAAACTTACTCTCTGAGCAGTAGTTCATGAAAGCTAAGAATGATGTTGGTGCAGAGAGAGGCATTTTTTGAAATTTTTGTTTCAAATCACACTTGTCAAATGGAAAGCAAAACAGGGCAAAGACCCTTCAATTGTTTTAAAGTCCTACTATGTGTATTACTGGCTTAGTAATACACATAACCTTCTAACTGTGTGCCTTTAAATAATCCATATATTTTAGACAATTAGTTAATTTGGACTATTTTATAAAACATAAACATGTGGTATTGTTTGTATTTCTCACAATCCTGATCAATATCTAATGCCCTTAATTCTTATTTTCTTCATTGTAAGTTGTAGATGATCAACATGTTTTGGGATCTGGCTTTAAGATAGATAAAATCAGACTTGCAAAATATTAATAATTAAGAATTGCCAACAATGTGCTGGGTACCGTGCCAACATTAAAGAAGACGCAATCTCTGCTTCAAAGAACTCGCATTCAGATTCTGCAACCACTTAAGCATGTCATTAATTTCATTCATCTGAATAGTCCAGCTGGCTAAGCGCCTGATCCTGAAAACTGTCCTGTGTGAGTCCAACCATTTCCCCTATGCTAAGGTTATGGATTTCAACTGGGGTTTTGTATGGGCCCTGAGGCCTACCCAGGTGGAACATCCTTGAGTGCCTAAAAAGATAAAACTGGCATAAAAGAAAGGTAAGGTGAAGGGTTAAAACATACAAGTAAAGTAATTAGCATAGTCATTGACTACATCATGGCGATGGAATGTTTGATAACTTAAGAAGATTTCGTAGTTTGTTATGTTATATAGTCTATCTATTATAGCTGCATCTTGTCATTGTCAGACACCCAGTTTCTTGTTCCTGTCATGGTAAGAGTGGAACTTCAAGTCCAGTTTGAGTGAAGGGAGGCTATTAACTGCAGACTGACTTAGGTTTTCCATGCTGATGTGGAAGGCAGGGCAGGGTAGTACCTTACTAAGTAACTCATTCTAGGTCGAAGAGGAGAGGTAATGATGAGATGAGAGAAGTTGACAGGTTTGCAGGCAATAATTTTTCCAGGGAACATTTTTTTGGGGGCAGAGGGAAAGGCATGATGACAGATGATCAGGTTTTTTGCCAAAACAGGTATATGTCTGACATGGCTGTGGCCTCAATTCTGCAGCCACATTTACCTTTAAAGATAAGTCATCCTAATAATGGCTAGGGACAGAAATGACATGAAGCCGGTACAAATGATGGGAAACCAGTTCAAATCTAAAACACAACCAAAGTTCAGTGCACATAAACTGCTTTCAAAATAGCTGAAACCACTTTAAGATAAATCTGCATCGATGCAGTGTCAGATTTAACTGATTTAGGTTAAATTGCTTTATTGAACTTCTGTCCCAGATCCACTCCAGATTCAAGTTAGCTCACAGTCCCCCAGCATCCCAGGATGCTTTGTACTTCCCTGTGCAACCCCTCCCCACCTCTCAGGGCAGGCAGGCTAGCCTTGGCCCAAACTGTCTGCTCCAGCCAAGCAGGGAGGCACGCTCTAGCATCCTGCCAGGTTTGGTGTGGGCCATTGCAGGTATGTGGCTGTATTTCTGGAAACAGAAGCGAGTGTCTGTTCACCTGCATATAGGTTCAATCTACAGAGCTTAGACTAAGTAGAGGTCACATGATGTACAGCCTTATCCTGGTACAAGTCACTCCTTTCCAGGGTAAAGGGGCTTCTCTGAAAGTGAGGAGTAACTATACAGGTAGTCCTCACACTTACAACACAACTGGTTCCTGAAAACCGTGTCTTAATTGGAAACGTCGCCACTCAGAACTGATTTTCCCATAGGAACAATGTTATAAATGGGGGCTTGGTTCCTGAACCAAGGCCTGATACCCTATTTTCACCAAAAATAACCAAGAATTTTGTACTCAATCAATTATAGATGAGTAGTATAGCTATGTTAATGTATTTATACTGTAAATAGAAATCATATTGATTTGGAACGACTTCTTTGAGGTGACTTTACTGGACGTTTTGAAGGGATCTTGGTTGGACTTTTTGATGGATTCTCGGCTGGAGCCTTCTCAGGAGTCTTGTCTGCAGGTCTTTCTGGAGTCTTGTCTGCTTATTAAAGAAAGTGTCCAAGGAAGTTTGGACAGATGTTCTCCAGGGAGATGGGCGACATAGCAAACTTGTTTGCTGGCGTGGGATCAAGTGTCGTAAAGTCAAAGCTGACATCAGAAAGTCGAAACAGGGCGTCAGTTTATAAACGCCCTAAGTGTTGTCCGTTGTAACTCAAAACGTTTTAAGTCAAAAACTGCCTGTACAGGGGTGTAAATCAGACTGGTGTGTCTACAGCTCATGAGTTCAGTGGCACCATTGGCAACGCATAGCGGGTGCACGTGCACCCTGAGCATGGTGGTGCACCCCTGCGAAAAGGCACTGCCAACACTGCCGGCGGTGCCTGTGGACGATTGCCGCTTGCCACCCTCTTCCCCCACTGCTGACAGCAGCAGTGTCGGATGGTGGGCAGTCCGCGATTGCCACTGGCTGCTGCCGATTGGTTGGTGCTCACCACCACTCCTGGGCGCCTCATGCTGTGGCCACCTGTGGGAGCTCCCTGCTTGCTGCTGCCACATTCTCACCACCCACTGCGCCGGCACTGCCTACAGGAGCTTGCCGTGCCCCCCCCCCCCCGGGCACATGGCATTCATGAACGATCCAGGCTGTTGGGGTCAGGCTAGATGATCTGTTCAGGTCCCTCCTGACCTTGGCTACAACCTGGCGCATAGTTTCATAGTAGCTGTGTTGGTCTAAGGACATAGGCAGGCCAGGCTCTTTGGGTGAATTTCTTTTTTTAGACCGGCTGGACTAGTTGGAAAAATTCTGCCAAGAAGAATTTTTTCCCAACTCTTTGAGTTGCCCTCACAGAAGAGCTCGGATTGACCCAGGGACCCTTGTGTGCCCGTGGCACCCTTCCCAAGCAGGTGCCGAAGAGGTGGCAGAGCCAGGGCCTAACTTTTCTTGCTCTCGACGTATAAGAAGGGGGTGTCCGCGGGCGTCGCTCGCCGCCCCTGGCCGGGGTTGCGGGCCCTGGCTGGCGGGCCGCGCTGACGTCGAAGAGTCCACGCCGGGATTTGAAGCGCGCTCCCTGAGTGACACATTGACATCAGAGGGGGCGGGTCGCGGAGGCGGGGCGGGGGCTCC